CCCCCCCTGGTAACCTGGTAACCTGGTAACCTGGTAACCTGGTAACCACCACCAGCCAGCAGGAAGAGTTTTTTTGTACTCCCCCTGGTCACCTGGTAACCTGGTAACCTGGTAACCACCACCCCCACCACCAGCCAGCAGGAAGAGTGGTATTTGTAGTCCCCCTGGTAACCTGGTAACCTGGTAACCTGGTAACCTGGTAACCACCACCAGCCAGCAGGAAGAGTGTTGTTGTACTCCCCCTGGTGACCTGGTAACCTGGTAACCTGGTAACCTGGTAACCACCACCAGCCAGCAGGAAGAGTGTTGTTGTACTCCCCCCTGGTAACCTGGTAACCTGGTAACCTGGTAACCTGGTAACCACCACCAGCCAGCAGGAAGAGTGTTGTTGTACCCCCCCCCCCCCTGTAGCTTGTTTTGTTGTTTAGATAGTATCCTCCACGCTCCCATTAATCCCCGCAATTAGGTGCACCACCTCCCTCACCTGTCAATAATGTCTACTACATTTCCTAGTCACCATAGTTACCACTACTGGTAACCTGGTAACCTGGTAACCTAGTAACCTGTCAATAATGTCTACTACATTTCCTCGGGTATCTCTCTAGTTCCTTCCGTTAGTGGTTTGTTAGTGCTGTTTGAGTGTGGTTACAGCTGTCAACTGATATCCACTATACTAGGCAGGAGGTGAGGAGGTGAGGAGGCTGCCCGCTGCATGTTTATCAGTATTCAGTACTGTAGAGGGGTATTTAATAGTCTCCTTTGTTGTTTTCGCTAAGTTCTTTGAGCAGTGAGCTCGCCTTCTTTGATCTTTTTACCTAAAAATACTGGGTATTTGTTAGGTTTTACAAGTATCTTCTTGAGCTGGGTTCAAAATGGCCAAATACGATTATCGAAGGAATAAGATTGTTCAGAACTTGGTCTACTTGGACAAGTATTAAATACTATCCAATATCACATTTTATTCAGTTGAAACCATTATCCGGGGGTTCGCGTTAAATAAAAAGAATTAAAATCCGGGTTAAAGGGGGGGGGGGGGGGGGGGGGGGGCGGGGTACACTACACTGTCTAAGATATCATATAAACACCCGAATTGGCAATTCATCTCTGTTTATGAAGTGGAGAGGGGAGGGGGCCAGTGGAGATGTCGGGAACTTTGACCAGAGTCACACAGTGATACACACACACACACACACACGGGCAGTGTGCAGTGTGCGTCTAACTGCTGCCACCACCCGTGATTCTCATTTATAAGACTCTTGATGGGTGATATGTGTTCATTATTCATTTCTGAATTACGTCTTGCAGAGTAGACATGTGTTATATTCTGTCTACTAATACATGTGTCTACTGTCTATCACTCCCTTATATGGGCCTCACGTGGTGTTACTAGTTACTACACTTCATACTGTCTAATCCACATCTCCTAACCAATCAGACTCCTCAACTGCAGTCACGTGGTCTATACTAGGTCACGTGGTCACCTTGTCACCTGGTCTAGGTTAAAACTCCTTATTTTACTGCACCTCAGTATCTGGCGGAGTGCCAACAATAGTGCTGGGTAGTTGGGCACATGCCAGAAAGAGGGGGTTGTATATCCTGTACTCATCACGTGACACTCTACTACCTGAGGTCACGTGATCTGAGGTCACGTGATCTGAGGTCACGTGATCACAGTTTCCCGCCATTTGTCAATTTAGCCACTATTTCCTGCTAGCTACATGTGTAGTGTTTACTGTATGCCTAGTTCTCCTGTGTTTATTTAGGCCTCTACTCTCTGATTTAACCCTGTTTTTGCTAAACTCAGTCGCATTTTGGTTTTTGTCGCTTAGCCATCTATCGCTGACTTTGGCATGATTCCAAATGCAAGAGAATTTCCAATAGCTATAATTTATCAGCTTCATGGATCGAAAATTTAAACCATTAGACATTTTGAGTTACCGCAAACAAACTGGATTTAATTATCTAAGTTCAAATAGCCGACTGGTCTATTATAAATACTATTATTTAAAAATCTCATTTGAATTTTTATTGGCTACTCCCTCATTTTATTCCCGTCCTATTTTAAAAGTCTGAGTATCATAAACTCGAGTTCAGGTCCTTAAAATCAAATTTTGGTTGTTGGTTAGTGAGTCGTTATATTGCGGTGCAAGCTGACAGGAGAATAGCCCTGACAGGAGATTGCCCTGAGTATGGGGTGGGTTACTAACTACTACTACTAACCTACTCTAACCTAACTAACCTACTTGTTACTAACACCTACACCTACTTTTATGCTCTTCGTCACGTTTAGTTGACATCCACGACCCCTTAAACCTTTAAAAGATAAGACTGGAGCCGGAAGCGAGGATTGTACTAGTTATGAATTGTTGATTGTAGGGATTGGGCTGATTTTTAATCCAGGATTATATTTGTTGAGGTATTGTTTGATGATAAGATTTAGTTATTTGTGGTTAAGTTCTCCATGCCAGGTTTAGACAACTGATTCCGCGGATAAAATAACAGAATCAGACAGCATGACACAATTGTTATTTTAGCCTTTTTGAGTGCCTGTCACTAAATCCCTACGTTTTCTGAGCGGCTTATCTGTTAAACTCAGCTGTAAATGAAGGTTAGCAAGTCTCAATAGCCCAGCAAGGCTTCTGGCTCGCGGTACAAAACTCACACCAAGAACCAGTCTTCTGCACAATTATCTTATAATTTGTGTGATTATTGTAAATTTACCTTTATTTGATATGTCTAAATCTACCTCCTGACAATGTGTTGTATGTAATATGTAGTCGGGTCCTAGCAGCATCTCCGCAAGCAACCCTACCAGCACCTGGTTCTCCCCTTTTGTTGCTTACTTTAATCGCTCATCCGTTATTATAGGCACCGTTATAATGTTCATTCATAATCATTGTTATGTTCATTTTGTAATGGCTTGTTTAATGCCACGCCCGTCAAGGAGGGATATTTTAAGATTCTTCCCCGGGAAAACTCGCAGAGATGTGTCAACTTAGTTAGTGGTGTTGTAAGATACAGTCAGGCTAGCTGGCTAGTAGTTGTAGTAACATGTGACAATTGTGGGGAGGTAACATGTGACACTTGTGGGGAGATAACATGTGACACTTGTGGGGAGGTAACATGTGTCACTTGTGGGGAGGTAACATGTGACACTTGTGGGGAGGTAACATGTGACACTTGTGGGGAGGTAACATGTGACACTTGTGGGGAGGTAACATGTGACACTTGTGGGGAGGTAACATGTGACCACTTGTGGGGAGGTAACATGTGACACTTGTGGGGAGGTAACATGTCACACTTGTGGGGAGGTAACATGTCACACTTGTGGGGAGGTAACATGTGTCACTTGTGGGGAGGTAACATGTGACACCTTGTGGGGAGGTAACATGTGACACTTGTGGGGAGGTAACATGTGACACTTGTGGGGAGGTAACATGTGACACTTGTGGGGAGGTAACATGTGACACTTGTGGGGAGGTAACATGTGACACTTGTGGGGAGGTAACATGTGACACTTGTGGGGAGGTAACATGTGACACTTGTGGGGAGGTAACATGTGACACTTGTGGGGAGGTAACATGTGACACTTGTGGGGAGGTAACATGTGCACTGTGGGGAGGTAACATGTGACACTTGAGGGGAGGTAACATGTGACACTTGTGGGAGGTAACATGTGACACTGTGGGGAGAGGTAACATGTGACACTTGTGGGGGGTAACATGTGACACTTGTGGGGAGGTAACATGTGACACTTGTGGGGAGGTAACATGTGACACTTGTGGGGAGGTAACATGTGACACTTGTGGGGAGGTAACATGTGACACTTGTGGGGATGGTAACATGTGACACTTGTGGGGAGGTAACATGTGACACTTGTGGGGAGGTAACATGTGACACTTGTGGGGAGGTAACATGTGACACTTGTGGGGAGGTAACATGTGACACTTGTGGGGAGGTAACATGTGACACTTGTGGGGAGGTAACATGTGACACTTGTGGGGAGGTAACATGTGACACTTGTGGGGAGGTAACATGTGACACTATGTGGGGAGGTAACATGTGACACTGTGGGGAGGTAACATGTGACACTTGTGGGGAAGGTAACATTGTGACACTTGTGGGGAGGTAACATGTGA